CGAAAAAAAGTTGAAAAGAAGAAAAAAATGAAAACATCAAAGGACTTTTATGTTCACTATAATTATTGCGATTATATTATTCAGTGGTTTTGTTGTGCAAATTGTATTGCGCAAAAAAATTATTTTCCAAAAGCAGAATAAATATTTATTCATCAGCCATTTTTAATGGTATATACTTTGGTGATTACTACTCAAAATTTTACAGGTTCATTCAGAAAAAGTAAGCAAGATAAAGGTTTATTCTTCTGAGTAAGAATTTCCGACCCGTTAATTTGTTTAAGTGTATAATGTTTTTTTGGAAAAACATTTATGCCGGCTGATGGTAGCGTCAGCGTAAATTAAAGTTAACCATATTGCTCATTTTTATTGCTTTGAATGCAAAAATAAAATGGTCAAAAAGAATTTCTTTTTTATCAAAATAATCGTCGAAGAAATTTAAAAATTAAGAAAAGAGGACGGAGGATAAGATGGAGGAAAAAGAGGAATTAAAAGTCTTTATAACAATTATTGTGGAAGCAAAAAAAACGAAGAATTTGTGATAAAAAATACAGTAAATATAATATCAGCAAAAAGTCCAAGTGACGAATAAATTTTTTAAAACAATAAATTTACATAATTAATAAAAGTTGTTCTTTTCTGTTTCTGTTTTTATTATTATTGACAGATAACAAAGTATAAAGGTTTGATTTAAAAGTAAGTTATTGGTTTGAAAAACAGCAACTGTTTTTTTTTGATAATTTTCTTTTGTCAAGCGAACACTGTATAAAATTTTTACACATTTTATACGGGCAAAAAAAGAGAAGAAAAACAAAAAAGATTTAATGGAAAGAAATGGAATGAGGTGTAGAGAAAAATACGGCGGAGAAAAAGAGGAATGAAGGGGAGGAATTTTTTTTGTGTACTAATTTGTCCCAGATTTGACTCTGTTAATTCCACTCATCGGTATCGGTAGGGGAATAACAACGGTATTTGTGTTTTGTCCAAAAATGTTGCTCAGATACAGTGATTATTTGGTAATTGTTCCCCGTCCCCTCCCCTTGTTCTTTTGCCTATCCTCTGAGCTATAAATTTTATTCCTGTTTAAAATTGAAATTCCAAAAAGATTTTTGTTGTTTTTTTCATTTTTTTTCTTATTGCAACTATCGCTGCTGTTCAGTAATGTTTTATTCCATATAAAACTCAATCATAGTCCTATAACAACTTTGTAAATCTTCAGCTCCACTGTTGCGGTCAAATAGTGAACAAATGGATCAGCAAACAATTGACACCACCAAAGTGCTCATGGTCCAATTAAATGCTATCAGCGGAACAGTGGTGTTACATCAAACAAAAAACACCAGCATGTTTTTGTACAAATTGGGAAAAGAAACTTTTTTGATTGCCAGACGCATTAAGATATTGTCGGATAAATACACAAAAAATGTCAGAAATAGTACGACAGTAATAATCAAAGGAGCAACAATCCTTCCTAAAAAAAGGATAGGATTTCTGAGATAGGCGAAAGTTCAAAAATTGTATTTGCAGAAATAATGAAGAGTAAATGGTGGTCAAGGACAAATCTACTTTATCGAGAATTTTTGCTACTTTTTTTCTCCATCTACTCCGCTTTTTTTTTTTTGCCACCACCCAACTATTTCGTTGTCAAACTACAAATTAGACACTTAGAGACTTTGGTTGTTATAGGCTTAAAGTATATAGAAGATTATACATGGCAGCCTTACAGCTCGAAAAAAACGTTTTTTTTCAGGCAAACTGTTGACGAAGTAAGTTTAAAGTTGAAGCCTGTCTAAGAATTAGGAAAAAAATTCAAGAAAATTTTCGTTTTTTTTTTGCGTTGGTATTATTTTCAGATCAGTAATTATATAAAACATAAACAGACTGTACCAAATTGTACTTGTTGCACAGTTTTAGAATTGGTATTGTTTTTGGTGCTGTCGCTAAATGTTTATTTGTATGCTATCATACTGCCTTTCTAAATTGTTTTCAATTTTTGGTGTTGCAATAAGTTAGTTGTCGTCATGGTCATCGTCAACAGGCGGATAGCTGTCGTTTGAACGAGCGGACCATAAGAAGAGTGTAACTGGGCCGGTTAATGACCCAATAGTATAGGAGGAATGAGGTCAAGGAAGGAGTGGACTAAACGACCAGTGATAGATTTTCTTGAAGAAGACCCCAAAATCAAAATAACAACATCACAGGGCAGTGTTATCGCGCTGGTGGTTTTCGGTTTTGCTCATTTAAGTTGTTCTGTTGAAGTAATCGGTACCTTGGTCAC